GATGGGGTCAAAATGCCTGTATGATCGAGGGCTTTTCAATGAATCTATCAGCGTGCTCTTATTCAAAAGATTGAGCGAGTTCGTGGTGAAGCGGTTGATGTGAATCTGAAGTCTTTGATACTGAACTATTTACAATAGTGAAAGCTTTCAAACTTATTGAAATAAAATCTCATAAAAGAGAAAATACTTTGAAAGTTTCTTTGATGAAATGAAACAAGACAAGACTGAGATAAAAATAGAAGTATCACAAGAATCTTCAATCTCATTCATTTTATTTGCAATATACACTGCATATCTATTCAAAAATAGAAATATGAGAATAGTGCAATCTCTGAGTTATATGAATGATATTGGCCTAGTCTACAGCTCAAAAACTATCAAAGAGAATTTAAAAGTGATTGAAAAAGCTGCAAAGGAAATCTTTATTAGAGCAGATATTAATCAAATGCAATTTGATATGAATAAAACTGAGTTAATTTATTTCTTTTCTAGATTCAATGAGAAAGAACTATCTCTAAATCTTTTAAATAGAGAGATTAAAGCCAGTGTAAATGTCAAATGATTAGAAGTATGGTTAAACTCTAAGTTGAATTTTAAATATCACATTCAACAAAGAACTGTCAAGATAGAAAGACTATTGAACAATATAATCAGACTATCAAATACAGAGAGAGGTCTATTCTTCCAGGCTATGAAACAGTTATATATAGCTTGTATTACCTCAGCAGCTGATTATGAAGTTCAAGTTTTATGAAATAATCAAGGGAATTTCACTGAACTCTTTCAAAGTCTGCAAAACAGAGCTCTGAGAAGAATTCTGAGAGTATTCAAATCATCTTCTATTAAAGCAATGAAAATTGAAGCTTCAATTTTTCCTCCTGCTATTAGATTTGAGAAGGCCTATATGAACTATGCTCTGAGAGATATAAAGATGAGCTGAAATTATATAATCAGAGAAAGAGTCTCTTCTTCATTTTCATTAATTAACTCTGGAAATGAACTGGACTGAAATAGACTTCTTGATTGAAATGAAAATAATTCTTCAAAGGAAATGTCTTCTCAACTGTACAGACTATGCTCACTGATTAAAAATCAATTTTCTTCTTTAAATATTGAAAAAGTTGATCATGAGAAGATATCTCTCTGAAGAGAAAAGCTTGAATCTCTTATAGACTTGTAAATAAGTGAACTATCTAAGAAGAAAGAATATAAACAGCATTTGAAAAGGAATTTGTATAATTAATATAGAAGACTCTATTCTGATTTATTCAGATAACTTCAAAATGAAAATTTGAATAGATTAGACACAGACATTGCTTATACTGAGATAATATCAGTTTATCTCAGATTTCTGAAATTTAGACTGTGAATCTAAAGTCTTTGATGCTGAACTATTTGTAATAGTGAAAGCTTTCAACCTTATTGAAATAAAATCTTATAAACAGAGGAAAATAGTTTGAAAGAGATATACATATTCTCTATAGTCAAGCTGCTTTAAAAGACTAGAAATAGTCAGATCTATATAATCAATGAATCTTGAACTGATCTTAAACTCTGTTTGAAAATCAAAGAGAAGAATATCAGAGCTGATACTTTATCTACACAAGTTTCTACTCATATGAATATTCATGACAATTAATTGACTGATTCAGCTAGACTGGCCGCCGGGACCATGAATTTCACATTTGGTCCCATTTGGTCTGGTCTCATACATTTCTTAGCATGAGTCTCACCAGGACCAAGCCTCAAAAAAATTTGAAAATGAACCATTTCTGAGAGAAATGGCGTGAAAAATGACCAGATTTAATTCAAGAACAGTGAAATGAGAGTAATTTTTCAGGATAAACTATGAAAGATGATCATTCATTCAAAATCAGAATGAGACTGAGACTGAAGATCAAAATCAGTTCTATTCAGTTCATTCAGTGATTGCTTATATAATCAGAATTTGGTAACAATTATTGATAACACTCATGAAACAACTAAATACATTCTTGTACAAGTTTATTCTTCACTTTCTTATGAAAACTACACTTCTCTGATATACTGTGATCAGAGGTATTAAACTGTCTGATAATTCTATGTTTTATAATCATGCATTTCTTGATTGTTTCTTCTTATAATTGTTCTCAGTAATAGTGATAAATATCTTGACTTGAGTTGAACTTTCACTTCATTCTCATCTCTGTCAATGAAATTATCAGAATATCACACATTATCAGTGTAACAGTTGAATATATACTCTCAACAATTTTTCATAACTCTAGAATTGATTTGATGTGTAAATTTATCAGATCATCTTGAAGATAGCAGTTAAATTCAGTTTTACAAGTATATAGTTTTGCCTGATTTTCAGTTGTAATCAATGTATACAAGTTCTGTTTCAAAGTTAGTATTATAGTTCTATGTGATATGAAGTGTTATCAAAGATTGTTACTTACTAGAGAATTGTATTCCACTGTCTTCACATCTCAAACATCTGCTTATTCAAATCTCTGATAGTTGACATTGTAGTAGTCTCAGATTAATTTAATATATAAGTCTTGTTCCTCCTCTATTCAATCTTGAGAAGTGTAGATATTAACATAATGAGAGAGATCTAGTAGAGCTGCTACAGCATAGTACTCTGCAAAAGATTGTTTCATTTTGCTGTAGTAATATGCCAGTTTATTTCTTACAGCAATAATAGTCTGTGCTATAGCATCATTCCAGACTGAATTTCTTTTTAAGTGATTCAACTGCTTCTCAAGATGAGTAAATAAACAGTTATACACTCATCAGGCTGACTGCAGCATTGATGTATGAGTGATTGAGACTGTCTTTATTATCTTATAAAACTGAAGCAGTAAATCAATCACATATTTCAACTGAGTTCACTTCATATCAGAAAGTTTCAATATCTGAATCTTTTTCTGATCAGAGTGTTGCACTCAATAATCAATCATCTGACACAATTGAAGAGTCTGAACAGTTATCTTATATGTTGAACTTCACTGTGTTCTAACATTCTGTATCATATTCAGTGATGTGACTGATTTGTTTATTTATTGAATATCATGAAATCATTATTATTATTTAGAAGAGATACAAATCACATTAGCAATGTTTCAAATCTATAGTAGTTAAATTATTAGTTAATCTATTCAAAATTAACAGTAGTATTATCAAAAAGCATTACTAAAAAGCAATATTAAAAAGTGTTATCAAAAAATATTATCTTTTACAAAGTGAATGTAAAAGTTACTTGAGTAATCACTTTCATCTCATTCTCATCTCAAGAACCAGTTATCTCATTATTCTTCATCTCAATGTTAAGATTCTTTATCAGTGTTTGTATCATAAGTTGAATCACATGAGCAATGCAGAGAATATGACCTTGTTTATCATTTCAGAAATACAAAGCCAATTTTTGCTTCAAGCTCTTCATCATAGTGTAGTTATTCACAGTATTATCAGTTGTAATTGTAAGAAGACTGAAACTAATATCTCAATAGTCATTTTTAATCACAGTTATTAATATCTCTGTCATATAATTCCCAGTATGACTACTGATCAATGATTCAAATTCAATTAATGTCTCTTAATAAGTTCAGTTCTCATCAATGTAATAACATATAACTTTTATAAATGCAAGATTGTTTGTACTAGTTCATGTATTCACTGTGAGAGATACTCTTTAATGATTCTTCAACTCTGATTCTAGATGTTGTATATTGACTTTATAGTGTGTCTTGAGATTGAACTGAAGACAGAATCAATGTGAAATATGAAGATTTGAATTAAGCATTTGAAGAAGTGTTCAGAATTTGAGATTTTCAATTGATCAAAGAGAAAGATTCAGAGATATATACATGCAAAGTAATTATTCACAGAAGTTATCAGATAAGAGTTGTGGAATCAGAGTACTGATATAAGGTCATTTTCACATGATTTTCTTCAAATTAGAAAGTTAGTATTATCAAAAATTATTATCTGATAGAGTAACTTATCAGCTCAGTAGTAATTTTCTGATTATTTTTCTTTTATTCTCTGCATTCTGATGACTTCAGATGTCAGAAAATTTCTTCAGAGTCATGATCAGTTTATGATGAATATTTCTGAATAAAGTTACAGTAATTGCAGCAGAGAGATAACTCTTCAGTAATCTGCAATGTAATCTATTGATAATTATTTCATAGTTCATCTCAATATTTGTATTGAGTTTTTCATAAATTTCATGACCTGGAATCAGATGTGAAGAATGAAGTGATTATTCATTATAATTGAAAGAGAGCATTCTGTGTTGAATTATAAACAATATAGACTTTGTGATTCACAGTGATTTCTTGAAGAGTTTGTGAATCTTCAATAGAAGTAAAAGAAGTGAAAGAAGTGAATTCAGAAGACATAATAATAATTTGAGAAAGATGATAATTTATTTTCAATAACTGATCACTGATGTGTGTAAGAAGAATTAATATAAGAGAAAATAATCTTGTTTCTTAGCTTAGTTATAATTTTAGTACTAACTCAGATTGAATATCATCAATGTATAAAAGTAAATAAATAATCTTAATTAATCTCTATCATATTTCTTGAAATATATTAATATTGTGAAAGAGAGTGTTACTAAATTACATTATCAGATGATATTATTCAAAATATATTAATATTATAAATATCAATGTTGAAAAAATGTTGATACTTATATATTATAGTGATTTGTAAATCATGATAGTTAAATATATATATATATATATATATTGTTCCTGACTTGATTACAACTTGTACAATAATTTTTAAAAACTCAAAATTAATTTCAATTATTAATAATTATGAACTTATAACTAACTAATATAAAAAGAAAAAAATTTTTTCTACTTATTATCTTTCTTCTCTTTCTGATTCTTCTTATCATTCTTCATAATTCACTTCTTATTCTTCTTCTTCTTCTTCTTCTCCTCATCTGAGATGATAATCATCTCAAAATCTCTCTTCACTGTCTTCTCAGAGAAGGGTTTTCACTGCTCTCTCTTAGTCAGGTCAACCTGTATCTCAAAATCCTGCATTTTCTGGTCTGCTGTCTCGGGTTTCATCTCAGTAGTAAGCAGATTGACATACTCAGAGAGCAGGGCTGTCTTCTCAATGTTCTGAATTATGAAGTGCATTTGAGACCTGAATAAGACCTCAATTCTCTCCTTCTCTGTCAGCTTCTGCTAATTAATTAGAGAACAGAAGTGTTATCAAAAATCATTATCTTTCAATAAATAAAAAACTTATCAGTTTTAGCTTCTTTGTCTTCTACTTCAACATCTTCTCAATCTTCTTCTATCATTACTTATTTATAGTAACACTCTTCTTCTCTCTCTCTCTCTTTATCTTGATCTCAAATTATTCTCAGAACTTCTTCTAGTCTCACTGCTGCTGTATAAGACTCTTCACTGTCTTCTTCTTCAATCTCTCATGAGTGATGTCATTCACATTATTTCTATACTTAGTTCAGTCTAAATCTATCAGAAGTATTACTTAAAATCATTATCATTCTACTTTCTTATGAAGTCTCTTTAAGGTATTATAACATGTCTTACAATCTGTCTCTTCTTACTTAAACATCTTCTTCTTCTCTCTCTTCAATCTGTGACAGTGCTCACGCGCCTTGATGATCTGCAGAACTGCAGAATATTTGAAGAGAAATGACATGATTGATTTTAATAAGTGTTGAAGAGAGGTGAAGATAGAAGAGACAGTCAGAAATGATATAATAATAGTGATAATGATAATAATGATGATAATGATAGTGATAATGATAATGATAATAATAATAGTGATGATGATGATGATGATAATAATAATAATAATGATGATGAAAGAGAGAGTGCATTGAAATATATTACTGACTTATCAAATATAAAGAGACTCAAAGAAAATATTAACAGCTTTCAGCAATGTACAGAAACAGCTACAGTGTTGCATAGCAATATCATCTTCATTCAATACATGCACTGTTGATATTCTTTGTATACAGTTATCATATAATCTGTATCAGAGATATATGCAGAAAACAGATCTTTGTTGCTAGAATAAATGATTGCAGCAATTCTCTGTTTTTATATTATAAAGATAAGTTATTCTTATTTCTTTCTTCTCTCTTTTCTCTTCTTCAATCAATCACTAATTTCAAGCTGATATGAAAACTATTAAAACACTCTCAGAAACTCTCAAATTGAAGAGTATAGACTAATTAAATTTCAAATGCAGAAGAAACTAAATTATCTTCTACAGATTCAATTATTCATCTCTCTTTAAATAAAACAGCAGTTGTGTCTCCTCTCTCTCTCAACTAAACAAAACATGGCCTGTGAAAAGCAAGTACCACATCAGGCCATAATGATCAACACAGTCCCAGCATGCAGGGCTGCATATGCACAGTGTATGCTGGACTGAGAGGCTGCATGAGTTGTAAACTGATGGCAGCATCCCAGGGAGAGTCATGCAGTGTGAGAAAGCTGCAACTCTCAGTCATGTGTACAGAGAGTGAATCACTGCAGTAAGTGTATATGCATTGAAGTAATGCTTTTTAATAATACTCAGTCTCTGATATAATGAAAATAGAGTCTCTCTGTGAGATCTGTTTCTATCAGAAGTCAGGAAATCTTATATTTCTTAAGATCATCTTCACACACCTTGTCTGTGAAATTGATAAGAGAAATCATCAATTTCAGTATTCTGTTCTTAATGTCATTCAAGTGACAGCAGAGTTCACCCTGGCCACACTTTTTAAGTGTATATTTTCTAATTATTCACATCTATATAGATATATACTGATTATTTATTAGATGATATTAAGACAATAGCTCATTGTGACTATGTTACTCTCACTGTGAGAGATACATAGTTGATAATAAACATTGCAAAGACTCTGAGAAGTGAGTATTTTAGAGATACTGTAGCTCTGTGATCTTGATTTTTTTTTATTTTTATTTTTTATTTTTTTCTTTTTCTTTTCTTTTTTTTTTATTTTTCTTTTTCTTTCTGTCTCTTTTTTTCTTTCTCTTCTTTTTTTCTTTCTCTTTTTTTTTTTTTTTTTTTTTTGTTGTGATTTTTTCTTGTTATTTTGTTTTTTATTTTTTTGTTATTTTTTGTATTTTACATTTTTTTTTTTTAATTAAAATGATATTAATTATGATCTGTGTTCAGAAAAGTAATAATATTTGATAACACTCTCTGTTGAATTTTCAACAAATGAGCACTATGTTATGATATTATGTAAGTGAGAAATGATTTCATAATCTCATTTGATGTCATTTTCAATAATGAAATCAGAATGAAAATGTGACTAAGAATTCAAACATATTCTTTATCTGAGACTAGATTTTTATTTGAAAAGTGAATCTGAGATCTTTAATATTTGAAATAACAGGATTTGAAATCAATGTGATGAACACAAATCATGACCAGCAGTAATACTTTTAGGCAACGTGACAACTGTAAAGTTTGATCCTGGTTCCAGACACGGTCACACGGTCAGTCTAGATTCAGCTGTAAAAAAGAGTTCAGAATTAAGCAGATATATTCAAAAAATTATATTCTCATCTTTTATAAAGAGAAAAATAAAAGAATCTTGTTTAGATAAGTGAAATGAAAGCTAGTAGAAACAAAAGAAGAGTATACATTATTCAAGATTTGAAATAAAATCTAAGTGAAAATCTTGTTTAATTAAATATAAAAAGAAAATATTCTCATCTATAATACAGCTGAAACTAGAACATGACTATTTCAAATCTTATATACAAAGATTTGATGATAGATTTAATTCAATAGAATACTTATTCTACAATGCAAATGAGAATTCTGAGTATATTATAATACACTATGTATTATATAATAGTCTCAGAGTCAGATTGAAAGAGAAGTATAATCTAAATCAATTAAATATGAGATTCTTATTCTCATCTGAGACAGGAATTAAATACTTAATAGACTTTCTATCAGAAACTTAAGCAGCTACAAGAAAATGACTAAATTCAGAAATATCTGAATATTAAGAGGAGGAAATCAATCAGATATAGTCTGTTAAAACAGCTATATACTATCTTTTAATAATTTGTTTTATTACAGTCTCTTTTTACTTTATCTTTTTCTTTCAATTCCTTTCTATCTATCTATTTAATATGTCTATCTTTAAGACTGTGTTCTCTTTTCTTTTGTCATGATATTGTCAAATGATTTCAAAGTATCAGAAGATGTTAAAATACTGCAATTTGTAAACAGTTTTTGTATTCTGAGCTGGAATTTTCTGATTTTACATATCTGAAATTAGTGAATGTATAATAGTTAATCTTACAGATATAGACAAAACCCTGAGAACTGAAAGTTCTCAGGTAGATGTCATAGTCTCTGACTGCATACATCTATAATTGAAGAATAATAATAATAATAATAATACTTTGAAAGTGATATGAATATTCTGTGATAGTCAAGCTGCTTCAAAAAGACTTACAAATAGTCAGATTCATAATAATTAAATGAATCTTGAACTGATCTTAAACTCTGTTACGAAAATTTAAAAGAGAAGAATATTAAAACTGATAATTCATCTACACTAAGTTTCTGCTCATATGAACATTTATGATAATCAATTGACTGATTTAGCTGCTAAAAAAGAGTTCAGAATTAAGCAGATCTATTTAAAAAACAGTGTTCTGATCTTTTATAAAGAGAAAGATAAAAGAATCTTGTTTAAACAAGTGAAATGAAAGCTGGCAGAAATAAAAGAAGAGTATACATTATTCAAGATTTGCAACAAAACCCAAGTGAAAATCTTGTTTAATTAAGTGTAAAAAGAAAATATTCTCATCTATAATTCAGCTGAAACTAGAATATGATTATTTCAAATCTTATATACAAAGATTTGATAATAGATTTGATTCAATAGAATGCTCATTTTATAATTCAAATGAAAACTCTGAGTATATTGTAATGCATTATGCATTATACAATAGTCTGAGAGCCAGTGTAAGAATAAGTACTTGCAGGCGATTATTCAAGTGTTTGCAGCTTGGTATGATATGTACTGATAGCTACTAGAAGTATTCACAGTAGAAAGATAAATATAGAGATCAAATGTATAATAGTATTCAAGCTGAGTTGTGAATAGTAGTCGCGAACTTCAGTCTATATAGTTATATATAGTCAAGGGCTGCTAGCTCTATTGATTACATGAGAGATAGAAATAGAGGTAAAGAATCTATAAGAAGCGGGATTTCTTACACAGACTTCTCTCTCTTCTTCCTCTTCTCTTACAGAGAATTGAAAAACTCTTTAATTAATCTCTTTATAACACTTAATTTAAGCATTCTGTAAAGCTTTTCTATCTTCTCTAAGCTCTCTATATTTATTACTTCAATCTTCTTAATATAGTCAGATCTGGAAGAGAGTTCATTCACTGAGTTTTTAATTCTCTTAATATACTCTATTTTAAATTCAAACTTACTGAGTTTCTGAGCTTAGTAAATCTATTACTATAAGAGTTTCTTAATTAAAGTAAATTATTATAAGCTGGTATAATCAGTTCTAATAGTAATTACTGTTATAAGACTTTTAAAGTAGTAGTATTAGTAATGAAAGAATTTCACTATTATAAAAAGCTTTTAATTATAAATATTATAATTAATCTTTATAGATTTTATCTTTTATAAAAAAAAGATCACTGAAACTCAATTTTTATTTAACTATAGTTATAAAACTATTTTTAAAATTGTACAGAAGAAGATATCTATCTTTAATCTAATTCAAAGTAAGAGATTAAAGTGATAGAGTATCACTATATTTATAAATATTTATTTTAATATTATAAAGATTTTATATGCTTCTAAGATAAGAAAATTCTCACAGCTTTTTTCTCTTAATAATCTTTTCATTCTTTATTTATAAAATAACTTCTTTTTATTTTCACTCTTCAGCATGTCTATAAGAGTTAAGAAGATTTTTATAAATACAAAGATAAATTATTTATAAAAATTTATAAAACTTAGAAAGATCTGAATCTTATAAATACTAGTTAGCTTTAATTATATTAGAATAATCTTAACTTATAAATATTTTATTTGAATATCATCTGCAGTAGTTATATATTCTAGAAAATTAATTTAGTAAGTACTAAAGTTGTATTTTATAAGCTTAATATACAGTTCTGTTCTATTTAAAACCTTTAATATAGTTTATATATACTCAGTGTATTCTTTCTACTTTATAAAGTATATTATTACATTATTCAGATATATTACTATAAAGACATTCATATATATATACAGTATTTTAATAATAAAAGACTGAAATACTGTAGAGATATTTACTAAATTAAAAGATATTACTAAATATTCAAATAATCTCAGTATAGTTTTAAAAATGATCTTATATTTATTTTCAGACTGTATTCATAGCTGTGTATATAGTCTGACTGATAAGATTATAAATTTTATATTTAGTCTCATTTAATCTGATCTTATACATTTCTTAGCATGAATTCTGCTGGGACTAATTATTAAAAAAACATGCAAAGTGATTATTAATCAGATCTCAAAATGAAACTATAACTTAGAAAAAATAAGAAAGTGATTTCATTCAGTTCTATTTAATTTCATTCTTAGTATAAAGTTACTATTTTTAGAGATTTTAAAGTTTTTTTTAGACTATTTTTAATTTTTTAAAAAGTAATGATATTTGATAATGCTTAAATGAGATCTAAAGTTATTTAAAGCAATAAAATGAATTTAAATTGAGAAGTGAAAATCATGATCTCATTTTGAAAATGTAATAAGAGTAGACAGTGAGTCTCACTGAGATAGTATGAGACTACTATCTAATCTTAATACTGTATAATAAGATTAATTAAATTAATAATAAGACTATTAAATATTCTGATTCTGATCTCAGATACGGTCACACGGTCAGTCTATATATATATATATTAATTATATTCTCAATTAGAGATAGAGAGTAGTAGACTGATTCTATAACTGTATCTGAGATCAGAATCAGAATATTTGATGATTTTATTATTAATTTAATTAATCTCATTGCACAGTTTTAAGATTAGATAGTAGTCATATACTGTCTCAGTGAGACTTACTATCTACTCTTATCACATTTTTTAAATGAGATCATGATTTCTACTTCTCAATTTAAATTCATTTTATTACTTTAAATCACTTTAAATCTCATTTAAGTGTTATCAAAGATCATTACTTTTTAAAAAATTAAAAATAGTCTAAAAAAAACCTTACAATGTCTAAAAATAGTAAGTTTATACTAAGAATGAAACTAAATAAAATCAAATAAAATCACTTTCTTATTTTTTCTAAGTTATAGTTTCATTTTAAGATCTGATTAATAGTCACTTTGCATGTTTTTTTGATGATTAGTTCTAGCAGAATTCACATCAAGAAATGTATAAGATCAGATTAAATAAGATTAAACATGAAATTCATGATCTCAGTGACCAGTCTAGAGAGTAAAAACTCTTTATAGTTTTAAAGTTTAGATTGTACTAGTTTATATATAATTTAAAATCTTTATTCTTCTTCTTTATAAATATTACAGAGATCTATAAAGATTAGATAAAGTTATTCTTTAAATTCTTCTTTATATAAGTCTGCAGAGCTTCTGTCTCATAATAAAAGAGTTTATAAATTAATTCTTAAAAAAGTTTCTACTCTTTTATTAAATTTATTATCAAATTCTCTTTATAATGAAATAAAAGCTTAACTATCTTAGTTAAACTAAATATCTTTATAAAATCTCAGTATTTGTTTAATATCTGAACCTTAGTTTTCATAACTGCAAAGTTTTTAAATATTTATAAAATTATTATATAAATAAGCTTGTCTTCTCTAATTAACTCTGCAGTATTAATCAATTCTATCTCTGTGAATAAGTCTGTTAATACTCATTAGAGGTATAAATCTGACTTATAGATAACTATATATAAATTATATTTTTAAACTTATATAAGTCTTAGGTATATATTATCTGTAATATTTATGATAATCATAGTTTCTGCAAATTTTCTTCAAGTTTTAAAGAGATTTTATAATTTAAAAATAACTATTATAAGTTTCTTAGCTTTTAAATCTAAGTTCTCATACTCTGTTTATTATAAAAGCAGATTCTCAGTTTTTATTACTTAGTTTATTTACTTTACAAGCTTTAAAGACACTACAGTGATTTGAGATTCTGAGTTTATTAATACTTCTTATACTTAAAAGATAGTAGTATCACAGTATAGTCTCTTTTTATAAGTATATATTTTCATTGAAGAAGTAACAGATTCAGATATTAATTTTAAAACTCTTAAAATAATAATTTCTAACTCTGTTTATAACTCTTTAAATTTTTATTTTAATTTATTAGAACAGTTTATATAAAAATATTCTAATTTAAAATAAATAAAATAGAGATTTTTTTTCTTGATCTCTCTATTATATACTTTAATAATTTATTTTTTATAAGTTTATAACTCTCACAGTAATCTGTAAGTAGTAAATAAAAGTTATCAGTTTCTTCAGAGTTAAAAACTTAAAGCTTTATTTAATAAACTTATTCTATATATTTTTATTCAGTTTTTTTATAAATATTATTATTCAGATCTTATTTCAGAGCTTTATTTTCTTAGATTTTAATTCATATTATAATTTTATAAAGTACTGTAAGTAGTTTTTATCAGATTTCTTATCTCTTTTTTTAATATTAATAATTACAGTTTAAATATTCTCTGTTTAGCTTATAAAGTCTTTTAACTTATTTTTTAAATAATTCAGTTAATTTTTAATTTTAATATAGTAAAAATTTATTATTATAAAAAATAATAGCTTCTTTATCTTTTATATTATATAGTCAAACTTCTGAGTTAATTTTAAAAATAAACTTATAAAAACTTTTATAAATTATAATTTAATAAATAATTTTAAATAATTACAGCTTAAAAAAGTTTCTTTTTAATTTACAAGTATCTCTAAAGATTATATCTAAAGACTTAGTTTAAAAGTATTTATAAATAGTAAGTATTTCTTATAAAAAAATAACTTAATTCTATAATAAATACACAAGAATATTCTTTATTGAAATTAATTTATTTATAAATTAAGAAATTCTTCTATTATAAATATAGAGAGTAATATTCTATAAGTAATTAATAAGTTCTCTAAGACTTCTTTTATAAGAGTTATTTATAATTTAAATAGCTGCTTCTGAGTGTCTATAGTAGAGTTTATAAAGATTAAAGTATATAAGTTTTTAATTATTTCAGTTATAATAAACAGTTACTGACTGACAGAGCTTGAAATATAAGAATAAGTACTTATAGATAATTATTCAGAGATTCATGACTTGATATAATATATACTAATAGTTACTAGAAGTATTCACAGTAGAAAGATAAATTTAGAGATTAAATATATAATAGTATTTAAGCTGAGTTATGAATAGTAGTTACAAACTTCAGTTTATATAGTTGTATATAGTCAAGAGCTGCTAACTCTATTAATTACATAAGAGATAGAAATAGAGATAAAGAATTCATGAGAAGTGAGATTTCTTACAGTATGACAAAGATATAAGATATTATATAAAGAACAGTGAAAGAGTGAAAGAGATGAAAAGAATGATAATAGACAAGTAGAGAGTGATTGAAGAAGAGAGTGAAAGTGATAGAAAGAGCTGTACAAGCAGTAATATAAGTGTAAGCAAGTACTTAATACTTGTTTTTCATTATAAATAATTAAAAATATAATAGAACAAAGTAGTTCAAAGTCTGAGCAATCTCTAGAAATGAATCTTCTCACTTAAAAAACTTAAAATAGTACTGATAATAGCTGAAAAATACTGTTTTCACAATGTTTTTAGTTTTGAAAACATATTTCAGCTCATAAAGTGAAATGTTGAATGATTGAAAAAGCAGGGAAGAAGGAGAGTATAATAATATATACTTAGCGCCAAGTCACTAGTACACTAACTTACTTACTACTATTGTATATATACAGTACAAATTGGTGGTGAATTATGTTAAACTCAACACATTACATAATATTTTATCATAGAATCTCATTATAGACATATTTTTACACAAATGAAAAATATGATAAAAAAGTCACAGCAGTCAGTCTACATATAATCTTCAATACACAGATATAATTATTATATTGATCAGCAGTTGCTACTGTTTATAACAAGAGCTTCAGAATCTGTACAGTTCATAGAAGAATTAACATTGTGTGTGCATTTATATAATCTAGCAATGTTCTCTTTGTGAAATGTGAGACATGTGACCGCAGTAGCTGGACCAACAAACTCTCTGTGTCAAGGCCCAGATTATGAATAGACCATCATAAAATCATCTGAAGGGGGGATTCAAATCTGCAACCCTGGTCTCCGAAGGGTTACCCCTCATAGCCAGTTTCTGCTTATCATGGGCCTTCCATGGACACACTTTCACCACTACATTATCCTCTCCTCCCTCACCCCCCAAATGGAGATCATTCTATGTACTTTGATCAACCAAATATTAAGTATAGGATCAATATCAAGACCTCAAAGTCGGGCTCATATTGCAGGACTCTAGTGTTGAACCAGAGCATCCAGAGTTAATAATTAATGGCCAGATTAACTTTGGTATCCAGGCATTTCTCCATGAAGAAGCTTTATATCACCGAACAATTCTCGCCATTGGAAAACCCTTCCCGCTGAACAATAACATGATCGCAACCCGGAGTACCTTCAGGTTCTATCTACATCTTTCAAAGTTGCCACCCTTCCTCGGATGTAGGGAGATGTTGGTGATGGTATATACTGCATGCATAGACCAGCTTTCGCGATTTTGGCGAACAATAATATTTATGATAACTCCTTGGATGCCTGCGCGAAAGCAAGTCTGTCATGTTTTCAAACAGAACAGAGATTGAGCGAGCTTTCTTGGCGCGCATGATTTAACAGTCACTCACTACTCACTCGCTGCTGGCATTAACTAAGGGACAAACTCCGGGCCGCTTTACAGGCAAGCAATTGATTTTTGTGGGATGGGAAAGATGAGAGATGAGAGATGTTGGTAAAGAAAGCTATCAATCTATTTATTCGAGCACAATTCAAAGAATATTTTCAGAAGCATGTCGTGTCGTGTCAAGTAACTACTATACGATATAGGATATAGATTGTCAAACCTGCAGGATAACATCTATCAGCACGCTGGGAGCTTCCGTCCTCCTCGTTGATGCCCCGCCCAATACATGAATAATCATAATAATAATAATAATAATACCCTCTAACTATTTGCTTGGTACTGGGATGTTTTTATACGGTACCAACCATATGGCGGAGGAGAGCGGGGGAGACAAGGATTAGTCAAGAACCACGCAGCGTTATCGTCAGCAGCCAAACTCTCCAACACTGCCAAAACCCTAAACTTCGCGCTGCGCCTCTGGCCATCTCCCTTGTTTCCATGCGCATTTTCCTTGGATTGGCGTGGTGTTTGGCGCCTAGCTTTGCCGCGGGAACGCTGCTGGGCATGATTCCCCTCCCGGGCTTGCCACCGGAATGAGGAATGACCCGGCGGATGGCACGCACGTTTTTCGGGAAATACTATACCCTGAGCACCCAGGCATAAGCAGTCCCTTGTGGGATAACTAGCTAGTAGATAACCCGGTCTGGTGATCAAGACTCTTCTTTTATTCCTTTTTGGCTACCTCAATTGTGCGGGGGAAGCACCCATGCCATGTCGCTCCATGTGCGATAACACCACTATCGGCTTGGTATTAATATTAATACTACTATTGTTTGTTATGACTCTTCTACCTCCCCGAGCTTGAAATCACCCGCACACACAACACACCACATCACACCACCATTGAGGATTGCGGGGGCCCGATTTCTGGGGCTGGTCAGCCTGCATCCTGTGCTTAAAGTTTGATCGATCTTTTCTATTTCCCCAGATATTTCTTTTCAGTCTCTCATATTTCGACCTTCTCTGCTGGCTTCTTCCCTTCCTTCAACCGTCCTACTGGCCGAACTGGCTCTTCTTTATTTCCCGCTCGCCAAAAGTGCTGTCCATATACAATCTTCCCTAGTTCCCCTCCACCCGCACCAGAGGCAAGCGAGCTATGCAAAAATGTGCAAAGCAGTGCAAAACCTGTTTGAATCTCAGTTGAAAACTCCTGCAATTCCTCGTTAACTAATTCATCCAATATATTGATTGATGCGTGGTTTTTACTGAGGTGACTGGAGATAATCCTTTCATACATTCCCACCTCAAACCGTTGCGCGCGCAGCTAGAACAGTCAGCATGCCTGCTGTAGAGCTCCTGCGCCGCGAGGAACCGGCGCCGAGAATTATCAGTCCTCTACCCGCCGAGAATCGTGGAGGAGTGATTTCTTTCTTCGCTTGCAGTCTACTTTCAGTCCTCACCACAGGGCCCTTGGTGGTATGGCTCGCGTATCGCCTTATCTTTTGGAGATGGTACTACACCAGATATCCGGGAAGAAATCAACTCATCATATTGGTTTTCAACCTTTTAATCGCGGATCTGCATCAGGCCTCGGCCAATCTGGTCTCTCCTTACTGGCTCCTAAGGAACGAGATATCTATTTATTCTCCGGCGTGCTTTGCTCAAGGCTGGCTTATCAATTTTGGAGATATCGCCAGTGGCATGTTTGTCCTTGCCATCGCTATTCATACCTTTGCGGGCGTGGTCTGGAGGAAAATGTTGAGCCATGTGGTGTTCGTGGGATGCGTCGTTGGCCTTTGGATGTTCTGCTTGCTTGTCACTGCCCTTGCCCCTGCACTTCATGGCAGACATGTTTTCGTTCCGATTGGTGCTTGGGTGAGATCTCCTCAACGTTTTTCGCTCGTTTTGGATGCGGGATTTTTGCTGACAGTCCCATTTAGTGCTGGATTGATAGCGAGTATGGAGACCAACGGCTATATTTACATTACTTCTGGATTTTTGTCACAGAAATCGGTATCATTATCATTTACCCAACCCTCTTTTTTATTATCCGGCACCGCTTAAAGTCGTCGAAGGAGTTTAGAGTCAACGGCTCGAGACGGCCCAAATTTAACAAAGTACTAAAGATCATGATCATATATCCAATCGCCTACATTGTCATCTCACTTCCTATCGCCGCCGGCCGAATGAGTATGATGAATGGCCGTCACCCGGGAATGCCCTATTTCTATTTTACGGGGAGTCTGTTGATGTGCTCTGGCTGGGTTCACTCCATTTTATACTTCCTTACACGGCGCCGCCTGGTGGAAGCAGACATCCAAACCGAAAGCGGATCTGATAGCAGCAACAGACCCAATCCCAGCTGCGATCCCAGGTACGAGATCCCGCTTACTATAGGCGGTGGGGGACTTCGAGGCGCTGGTAGCAGACACAAGCCGAGCCCCGCTGTTCTCAAGAATTCACGAACGCTACATACGATTTCAAGCTCCACAGACAATATCCTCGACACGGTCGAACTTTCGGAGCTAGGCGAAGCGAACCAAATGGGAGTAGTCGAAATCTCAAGTGAGCCTACCAGGGTCACATCATACTCATCCACATCGTCATCTAACGGTCAACTAGCGCAGTTCTCCTCCAACAGCGCGCCGAGCATTAGTACGCCAGCCACATCGACTCAACGAAATACATCGATGGATTGGCCTACGCAATATCAAGGAGGTTGGGCCAGCTGACGAAGGTTCTCGGAAGGGCCATACTCCTTCCACCCTGCACAATGGCAGATCCTTACTTTTATTTTTCTCCATTTCTTCTTTCAATGTCCTCTTTTTTTGGCACCCCAAAAATATTAGTGATAGTTTAATTGATGCGTACTATGTCACATGTACCACCACTTTGCGGATTAAGAATTTCTCTTCATGCTTTCCTTTTTAGTTGGTTCTCCTTTCAGCAGGGCGCTCGGTGGATGGCGGTGAAGGGTTTGCGAGGGTGTTCCGGAATTTCGTTTTTCTTTTTTCTCCTTTCTATTATCCCCACGGTTTAAAGTCAAATGGGTCATTTTTCTTGCGCAAAAGCCTGTATATATGTATGGGACGTTTGGATTATATCTCGCATTAGATAGTTCCGCAAGGCCTACTTGTTTGTATCTTTCAATACATTATGCATTCCCGAAAGCTTGCCAAGGCGAAACAATGTTCTTGACCTTCCTCCCACCTTGTCCATCAGTAGAGCCCTAGTTTTCGGGGGAATGGGCCGGAAAAAAAAAAACGGACCATGCCTTTTTTCCAAACTCTGCTGTCCCACTCAGCTTGGTTATTGTAATTTTCTCGCGCCATAGCCAGAGAGGGGTGATATCAGGGTTAGTTATACTTGCCTTCAACGGGGAGGCCTGTAGGTGCAGTCCTGCTAACCTCCATCATCCATCCAATAGCTTGGATACGGGTCTGGCTGGGCTTGGAGCTAGAAACGCGTCTACCGTGAACAATCTTGGAACGTCTGTTTGATCCCTATTCAGCATCACTGGTCGTTGGCTGCGGCACACCTATATCTCTAGCTTTCGAACCGAGACCCGGAAAACGCTATATGTATCTACTGGACCCTATTTTGCATCATCGATCTCTTCAGATATACATTCTAGACCAGCCCGATTTTTCTATTCTTTTCGAATCACTCATGTCCCCTTTCTCGTTTAGAATATGTCCGGGCTGATGAGAAGACAGATCCACTATTTCATGTTATGAGCTGGTAATATCCAATCTGAACTGCAGATTTGGATTTAGCTACGGTAGAGCGATCCTCCTCTGCACATTTCAGTCTGCATCTTGGTCCAAGGCTGAACTATCCACCCACCTCTATCACACGGACACCAAATGCGAAAAGGATATAGCTACCAACCGCGGGTTAAAGCCATTACGAATCAAGATTATATGAGCATGACAACCGCTATTTTTCGGTCTTCGAACCTAGGTTTGCCAGCTCTATGAATGGTGGGTAAACTACAAGTGCTGATGTTCTTCTGCACACTGTACATGTACATGTACCCTGTACATTTGCATACAAAGAAGCAGTTGTTGATAAGCTGCGCGGTTTCCATCTAACAATACTAGCCTCGCAGATTCTAGGGGAGAGGGTATTGTTATACATCACTTCCATTCAAAGTACAGTACATGAATCGGATGGAAAATAGCATTGATGTCAATGCCGCGTTTGCACGGAATTCGAGGTCCTATTGACGAGTCTTGAAGAGGGTAGTCGCATCGATGGCGGAAGAGTATATATATTCGACTGTTCCTGGAGCGTTCTGCTGGTGGATATCATCCCCTTCTCTTGAAAGCCTTCTCCTGGACAAGTTTCTCTAGCACTCTGTCATATTATCTTTGTACTCTATATACCATTCCGGTACCGATCCGTTAGCAATGGGTTCACATAGTGATGCCGATAGATATCTCCTAATCAGAACGAAGGCAGAAAGCGAAAGGTTTGTGTTATTTCCCCTGAGTCTCCGGTCATACACTGACAAGATTTCAGGCTAGATACTCAACATGAAGCCTTTAGGGAAAGCATGGGGTTTCTGCTGCACCCTGCAATTCCACAGCATGACCATATGCGTATAGCAGATGTTGGAACAGGGACAGGGCACGATAAATTTTCCCATTATAGCTGCTAGTGTTCAAAGAAGGGAGTTCTGATTTGCATTGCTGGGTTTTGTATAGGGTCTGGTTGCGAGACTTAGCAGGGAGGCTCCCGAAAACTGCAGTTTGATGGCTTCGACATCTCGATGGAC